CTACCAGGAATCTAGGGATCACAATTCTATTGCTCAACTTCAGATCTGGAACGAATAGGGGTACCCTTTTCTGATAAGCTTCTTATGTAGAAGTATCACAAGGAATATACAGTCTATTCTAATAAAGACTCAATAATGGTTTTATTCCTGAGATTTCTTCAGGTTTGAGTACATATTGGGATAACCTCGGTGGGGGGTGGGGGCTGAGGTAATAAGGATTCATTTGAACCTTAGTAGATCAGTTCCAAATATTCTACTCAGGTCAGTAGAATCTGCAGCCCAGTGAGTAGGAGGAATCTGATCTCACATCGCATCAGGAGAGGACAGTACTTTCAAAAGAACTGCTATAATTTGGGTTGCTCTGATGTGGTGCCTTCTGGAAAATATTAAACTTCACAATGCTGTTACAGAGCAAGTCTCAACTAACTTAGCTGGAACAAAGATACACAATTGAAATTGATAAAAGTTACAAGACCAGTGAGATCATATGTCTTTTGGACATATATTACCCAAGTATTTTATTAGTATGCTAGGGAACAGGTGGAGATAAAGTGGTGAGATTTCAGGTGAAAAATGTAGCATCTGCACACACTAGAAATTGGAAAGCCTGCCCTACAAATAGATATAAAGTAGCATCTGCATCCATTAGAAATTGGAAGACATGCCCTATAAATAGATATAATTTGATTTCATAGGTTCCTTTCTCAGTTTCAGCAGCTAGCCATTTTTTCAGTACCCAATCTCTTTACAGATGTCACATTTCCTAAACCGTTAAATATATAGCTACCATATGATAGAACCATTCCATTCCTAAGTATTTACCCAAGAGAATTAAGACCTATATCCAGATGTTTATAGTAGCTTTATTTGTAAGAGCCCTCAACTGGAAACAACCCCAATCAATAGGTGAATAGATAAACAACTGCTGGTATATCCACATAATGGAATACTCGGGAACAAACTATTCATAAATGCAACAACATGGATGGATCTCAAAATAATTACGCTGACTGAAAGAAGCCAGGCCAAAAAATAAAAAATGAGTACATGGTATATTATTCCAATTTTATAAAATTTTTTGAAAACATAAACTAACTATAGTAACAGAAAGCAGATCGGTGGGTGCCTGGGACCAGTTTGAGAGCCACTAAGATGTTTAATTATTAAGGGCCTACAGAAAACTTTTGGAGATGATGGTAATGAATTTGTGATTTATAGAGGTGGTTTCATCATTGTGTACATGTACCCAAACTCACCAAATTATACTCTTTAAATATGGTCAACCTATTATACCTCAAGAAATCCATCTGTAAAAACCTGGGTCACTAGGCCCATGAGATGTGCATGTCTGATGCAGGACTCTCTATCGGTTCCATGGGTGATTCAATCAGGTGTTCTTCACAGGAATTGTCCAAATACAGAAAGATACCAAAATATTGATGCTCCATATTTTAGTATAAATACTTCCCCTTATCAAATTCCTAGGGGGAAAATTAAATCTATATTTTAAATACCTTTCAAGTTAGTATTCAAAGGCCAAAAAAACACAACCCAGAATCAAATTCTCTTGCCCTCATAAGGTAAAAGTCCAATGCAATTAAAGTCCTCCCAAGTTTATTTTGTTCACTCACAACCAGAAATGTTCTTAATGGCCTAGATGGATTTTTATAGCAGCTGCAGCCCATGTGTCTTTCTTGGGAATAGATGTGAATCATTCAGCTCCTTAAAAGTTAAATGAACTCCACATTAAGTCTATGGTGTGTCTCAAGTTTTAAAAGGTCCAGAGAATTAATAGAACACCCAAATTCACCATAACACTTGCCTAACCTCCACAAAATTTAACAAGCAGTAATCCTGAACAAAATCATGTTCCCAGAAAATTGCCAAAGGCAATACATAGCAGAAACCCTATCGTAGAAACTCATGAATCTGTAGGAAGGATCGCTGTCAAGGGCTTTCTCCTCCTCCGAATGCCAATCAGTATATGCCAGAATCCATGATCTGCACACTAACACTAAACTGGAAAAAATTTCTTATCAAGAAGTTAAATTTGCCCTAGGCGGTTTGGCTCAGTGGATAGAGCATTGGTCTGCAGACTGAAGGGTCCCAGGTTTGATTCCGGTCAAGGGCACATGCCCGGGTGCAAATATGTTAAAAAAAAAAAAAAAAGAAGTTAAATTCATCACCATGCATTTAGCCTGGCAAACTATCTTCTCAGTGTCATTTGAGACACTAATACTATCTTGCAAAAGACAGATATGCAGTGATGCAGTACCATTCTCTCTAGTATATTCAAAATCTCTTTATAGTCAAAATTTTCTGTTTTACATTGCATTTTAACGACTGGCATGAGCAATTTAAACCTGAACTTCTCTAGAAGTCCGTATGGCATATAAGTCTTCTGCCTTGACATTTAAAGCAGCAAATATTGATAGTCATTAATGTTTAGCATATCTACAGTATATTTTCTTCTGACATTAAATCCTTTCCTCAAATGAGTTGCTTTCCCATGTCTCTGCAGCCTCTAATGAATTAAAATGTGGGTCAAGGTCAAGCCTGCACCCTGGAAGCTGCCTAACCATGCCAATGCCCGTTAATGCCAGTAAAGCCAGGGAAGCTCACCAACTGTCATCTTAGCTGGCACTGGCTGCAGCCATCCGGGAAGCCTGCATATGTGTGAGCCACAGTGACACGTTCTGAGTTTGCTGAAGCTGTGTCTCTACACTCCCACGCCCCAACCCTGCTTCTTTGTTGAGGTCTGTTCACTTCTGTTTAAGGCCCAGTATTTCACCGTCTCCAGAAATAACCAATTATCTGTGGACAAAGCTACCTTACATTTCGTGTTAAAATCCCATGTGCCCTCAGGCTGAAAGCCTCTTGCCAAAACCACAGCAACCAAAAGCCTACTGCAGCAATAAAAATAAAAGTAATGGCCCAGCATAAGCCTCTACAAACTGCCAAGATCAAAGCTCCCTGAGTACACATTGAAGTCTGAAACAAGCTCTTGGCCACCCAATGTTTTTCCACTTGTATATTGTGTTCCCTCAAAGGTCATTACTGCTTTACTTCTCGCTGGACTCGAGTATACAGCACCAATTGGGAGGTTTAGATGTTTCCTTCTACAAAACACGGTCTCTGCCCTGCTCTGCCTCCATCTCCATACCCTCCTACCCATCAATACAGCCTGTTCTTTATAATTTTCTGTAGAAAAACAGTAATCAAGAGTACATGCACTGTACACACAGGCCAGGTCCTCCTCCCAAACTCGTCACTACCTCCCTGGGCAGAAAAGTATGGAGAGTAGACACCATGTTGGGCTGAGGGTGCCCCACCATAAGAAAGGAAACAGAAGTGGGAAGTTAGGTGTGATTCCCCAACCAGTAATAATATACATGTAACCTAACTACTCTTTAGACTTTTAAATTCACTGTAAGTTTTGTTCCCTTTGTAAGTTCCTTCATGCTGTCACCTCTAATTCTCTTCTCATTCTGGAAGGCTTTTCTCACATCCTTCTCATCCACGAAACTTTCCCTGATGCCTTCAATGAGATGAAACCTCTCTTCTGAGGCCTGGGTCCAATGCTTTGCAAAGTATGGTCTAAAGACCAACCACAACAGAATGTGTTAATAGCTGTTAAAATACGCATTACTGAGCGCATCAATGCTATCCAAATCTTGGGGTAGGGCCCTCAAATGTGCACTGTGAGCTCTCTAGGTGATTCTCTGGTGCACTCAAATCTGTGTCTTCGTTTTGCACCTGATCATTTCTGATTTTTGTCCTATAACCTCACTTAGCATTTGCTCTATACAGCGGTTCTCAACCTGTGGGTCGCGACCCTTTTGGGGGTTGAACGACCCTTTCACAGGGGTTGCCTAAATACCTCCTGCATATCAGATATTTACATTACAATTCATAACAGTAGCAAAATTAGTTATGAAGTAACAACGAAAATAATTTTATGGTTGGGGGTCACCACATGAGGAACTGTATTAAAGGGTCGTGGCATTAGGAAGGTTGAGAACCACTGCAGATCCTTGGAGGAAGGAATCTTTTTTTTTTTAAGAGTAACTCCTTAACCTGGACCTTGCATATATAACAACTGCTCAACAACAAAACTGTTAAAATGAACTTAATTTTTACTCTCAAAAGGACTAGATCTCTTGTTTTGTCCTACCCTGATAAAGTGTGTAGAAGTAAAACACAAGCAAATCATTATAAAGGAATTAAAATATTTTACTCTGCTTCACAATGTACTGTCTTCATCAATGTAGCCAAATGTAGGTTTTCTGAGTTATTTTAAATGCAATATTATGCACTGAAAATTTTTAAGCATCGTTTCTCACTGCAATAAAGATTGTCTTTCCTTAGTAAGTTGCTTCCTCAGCATCTATTACACTTTTAAATGCAGTGATCAGTAGAATGCAAGGACTCCTCAAACCTTATTGCAATTTCAGGCTCTCTTATTATTTTATAGGCTTTATTATGCAATGTTTTACAAATATCATTTACAATAACGACAGTGAAGGCTTTCTCATTTTGCAGATTGCAAGGAGGTAGGCGGAGCAGTACTTCAGCAGCGACTCGGTTCACAAGTATACACAGAGATAACAGCCATGTTCCAGTGACAATGTCTTACACAATAAGATGATCTGGAAAGCTTAATTACTGGTGTGACACTGCCGAGTTCCCAAGATCTTACACTAATAAGCTATGTACTCCCACTTTGGGATATTTATAAATATCAGGCTTTCTGCATTTTTACATCAAACTCTGCTTTATGAAGACCCCATAGTTGAATGGTGGGGACAGAAGATATCCTGCAGCATGCTCTCAGGTTTCTAGAAAGCCCACTCCCCTATAACATGTGCTTAGTTTAAAAATAAATAAATAAAAACATCCAAGGAAAATCACTGCCTGCATTATTAAAATGAATTTTAAAACCGTAACAGTTGTTTACTAAATTGAAAATTTTCATTGAAATGCTCCATTGAAAGCTCTGCTCCATTTTAAAAACATTTTTATTTCATCTGAATTATGTGGTACAAAAGTACTGTCACCCAAATAGTAGATTCTTTCAGTCATTCAAGCCACCCTTTCTTCAGGGGCAAATAAATAGGAAGCAAATGATATTATGCAGAGTATATGTAGAAAATTTTCCTTTATATAAATGAACAAAAATTTTTGGACATTTTATATCGCTTAGCAATCCAGTTTATATTGACAAACGTAGTGAATTGCTAGGAGGTGCATTACATATACAAAAGAACGCAAGAGGCAGCAGATATTTTAAGCCTTGATTTAATATAAAGTGTCTGATTTAATTGTTTTCTTGTATTTTTTTTAGAAGATACTCCATCTGTAAATTTAAGTTTGGTTGGCCCTTTTTAGTCTTTTTGCTCAATATTTTAAACATTTCCATTTTCTTCTTTTTGTAGAGTCTTTGAGCTTCTTCTCTCTCTTGCTTTCTCCTCTCAAATTCCTGAAATTAACATATGTCATTTTCATTAGTAAAAAACAGTAAATACAGTTCCGAAATTGTGTTGAAACAGGTATCACCATGCTAAAACTTTAGGTCTGTCTCTTTTATTTTCAAAATATTAAGTGTCTCTTTTATTTTCAAATGTTAAATGTTAAGGCAAAGAGTATGCACTATAATACATGCTATTACATAAAGTTATTAAACAATTTTAATTATCTGTATGCAAATAAATTCAGAGCACAGAAGGCATATTTATGAAATGATTTCATCATTTAACTAGACCCAATGAAAAATTAAAAGTGACTTTATCTAGTCATGTAACACTAAAACCTTCATTTCCAGAATATCTCATATTCTTTTTAATTTGCCATCTGACAGATTTAATTCCAGGAAAATGTTTGGCTACATACCATATATGTGTAAAACACTGTGCTAGGCATTATGATATTTAACCATTTAAGAATGATCATGCTCATTTCATCTGCTAAGAGAAAGACTCAAGTTCATTTGAGTCTAAGGAAAATAATTCCGTTATATAGTGTCTAGATCCAAAAGCACTACTTGAAATGCACTATAACATTTACTAAATCAAATATAAAAGTTAAACGTTCTTCAATAATGCAATATATCAGTGATGGCAAACCTATGACACGCATGTCAGAGGTGACACACGAACTCATTTTTTTGGTTGATTTTTCTTTGTTAAATGGCATTTAGATATATAAAATAAATATCAAAAATATAAATCTTTGTTTTACTATGGTTGCAAATATCAAAAAATTTCTATATGTTACATGGCACCAGAGTTAAGTTAGGGATTTTCAAAATGCTGACACGCTGAGCTCAAAAGGTTCGCCATCACTGCAATAGTGATATGGAAAGTGATGCTCAGTGATATGGAAAGTGATTTGCCCCAAATCCCAAATAACTGATACAGTCAAGTCTCATATCCAGCTCTTGTGAATTCAAAGTCTGAGCAAGTCTCCATTATGCTACGCCATTGTCACTTAAATTTGTTCTTATATGGTACGGTACCTCATTTATTTTAAAAAGCACATAAAGATCTGGAACGTATTTGTGGGAATTTAGGTAAAACAAAGTAAAAAGAAAGTAGTCTTACTATCAATTATAGGCTCTTATTTAATTAATGTTCTTAATTTTGATTTCTCCTAAGTAATGATGCTGAGTATTAACATTCGAAATCTAAGAGACTGTCAATTTTCATAAATATAAAGTACTAGCATTTATCTATGTAAAGAAAATTTTAGGACATTACATGTTTTACAGTACACTGGTCCTTATTGGTATACTATTTCCAAAGGTGGCAGATATCAGATGCTTGGTTAGGAAAAAGCAGAAAGTAACAAGCTATGAGACAAAGGTTCACTATTTCCATGGTGAAATATTTCTGCTTCATCCTAGTCTGCCGCCAGACTAGGAAATTGTACGAATAATCATACAATTTTAGATGTGAAACTTCCAGAAATTCCCAAATTCTAAAGCTAAAAAAACACAAAAAATTCTAAATCAGTGCAATCACTGATATGCTATCCTTTTTAAAGTGCTAAAAATAAAGCTTCAATACAAAAACTCCAAGTTAATCACAGATTAAACAGAATGACGATTTTGTTAAAGTTGCAGATAATTTTGTTTTCCTCATTATAAAAAGTCTATTCTAATTTTGGGTTTCTGAATGATTACAGAGAGTGGTACCATTTTGCTAAGTTAATGCAATAGACTTTTTATTTTATTTTTGAGAGAGGGTTGGGGAGAAGGTGGGAGGGAGGGACATCAATATGTTGTTCCACTTATTTATGCATTCAGTGGTTGTCTGTTATATGTGCTGACTGGGGATCAAACCTGCAACCTTAGTGTATCGGGAAGACGCTCCAACCAACTGAACTACCTGGCCAGGGCTCTAGAGGCTTTTTAATTAGCAAGACTAACTCTTTATAGTAAGGAAATATTGTATTCACCTCCCCCCTGGCTTTTACTTGCTTCAATGTAAAATTATGCAAGTAATCTATATTTTCCTTAGGTCAGTGGTTCTCAAATGTTATTATTCATAAGAATCTCTTGAAGTACTTGTTAAAAGTGCCAGTTCCTAGACCAAACTCTTAGTAAACATTATCCCAGAAGTTCATATCATTAACCTGTAAGCAATATCTTTAAACTTCTATTTCTGACCACCTCTCAAGGATAATATAATCAAAAAATCTGAATATGTTAAAGTTCTCCAACTCTGATCATACCATTCATTTATTCAACAAATGTTTATTTACAGAGGGCATACTAGGTACCCCACACTAAGAAACACAGATTATATATACATTTAGCAAAATAGGAATCTGAATATTTTTAAAGATCTTACTTGTTTCTTAGCAGCACGCTTAGCTTGTACCCGTTCATATTCTTCTTGTGCTTTTTGATTTGATGTTTTCTTTTTCTTTTTCTTTGGAATAGTAATGAAACTTTATAAGGTAAAGAAAAATAAGTTGTAAAGATTAAAAACAATATAACTGAAATTATGACAAGTATGTCTAATACAGTACTTGTATATTAAAATCTCACTAATGCAAATTAATAGAAGGGGAAGAGATAAGAGGAAAGAAAGAGGACATTAATCTTATTAATAAAATATACAAATAACATTATTAAAAATATAGTTATAACTTTCAAGATAGATTACAAGGGGTAACTGGAGAATCTTGGAGAAATATTTCAACCAGGGAAAATACAGAAAGATTTTAAAGATCCTAGAATGTAAAAAAACAAACAAACAAACAAACAAAAACCCCACACACACATTAAAAAACAAAACCGGAAACCAACATATGAATGGCAGGAATCACAGACTGAAGAAGGCATTAAATTGAAGGACATAATGGAAGTTGTAGGTGGACATGAACTTGAATCCTAAAGTTCTTTGACCACTTCATCTCTATTCCCCTTCACCTACTTGTTCATAAATGACCCCAACTCCACTTAGAACTAGTCTATCTTTTGTTTTTTTCCTCACTTGAGGGTATTTTTTCCACTGTTTTTCAGAGATAGAGGGAGGAAAGGAGGGGAGGAAGAAGAGAGAGAGTCAGTGAGTGAGTGAGTGAGAGAGATCAATGTGAGAGAGAGATCGGCTATCTCCCGCAGGCACCCCTGGGTTGGGCAGTGAACCACAAAGTGCCCTTGACTGGGAATGGAACTCATGGCCCTTATGTGTGTGGGCCGACACTGGGCCACACTGGCCAGGGTGAACTATTCTATCTTGAAGTACTTCTCATGTCTCTGAAGGTGTCCCATACTGTCACAGATAATTCAACCACTTAGATCCAGCCTCCATCCATTTCCTCAGGCTATCTGATTCATTAATAATCTTCCTTTTTCCTGTTTCTCAACTTTTTACTATACCAACTTCATAAACACAGTATAAAAATTTCAGTAGCTACCTTCTTAAAGTAAACAAATGCACTAATTATCCATCACCAAACTCTAGATCCTCTTCTAACTATCAATCTCTTATTCCTCATCCTTTCATGGTCACGTGTCTAGAAAGAATAGTGAATAGACTAAGATAGGCACTTCATATTCACTTAACTCTGTAATCTGATTTCTGCTTTCACATTGTAATCAAACTACCCATGCCAAAACAGTCATGACCTTCTAGCCAAATATAATGATCAAGTCAATGGGCACTTTTCGGTTTCATTTAACTGACCATTCACTACTTTTGAAAATTCCATTCCGTTAGTTTTGGTGACATCCTTTCGCCCTGACCCTTTCTAACTGTCCTTCTCAGTGTGCTGTGCTAGAGCCTCTTTCTCTTTCTAATCCCAGGTTTCCCGCCAAGTGTTTCTCTCTTTGGTCTCCATGTTCTTCTTTGATAGTCATATCCATGACCATGGCTTTGGATGCTACATGCAAGGGTAAAAGTTTCATCAGGGTTATCTATTGAAAATCTTCTCTACAAGGTAGCTAATAATTGCCTAGAGCACAAACTCAAAAGACCTGCTCTCAGTCTTGTTTTCTTGGATGTTACAGTATTTGAGTTGATCAATCCTTACTCTGCACAAGTTTCCTATATTGACATAGCTGTCACTGTATTCCCCTCTTTCTCCAATTAAGGCAGTTCTATTGAACTTCTTCAGTGACAACTTTTCCCTGTTTCCACTTCAAAATAAGAAACCTCTAAAAATATTATTTTAGCCAAGGAATTTTGTGTCATGATTAAACCCTCCTCACTTCAATTATCACTGGAAATGATTCATTCCTCCATTTCTAGAGCTATTTTTTGCCAAGCTTTGCACCCATAGATGAACAAACCTACTAAAAATCTGAATTTTTAGTGTCTCTGTCTTCATCCCCTTCTACACTGTTTCCTGGGGTCCAAGTTCCTATTATGTTTAGCACAAATAGCTCCAATTTTAAAGGACAGAATTTTAGTGAAGTTAAAGGTTATGGTCCCAAGTAACACCTAGCTTCACTGCAAGTTTAGATTTTGGCATTTTTTTTAAACTTGAGATATGTGCAGAGAAAGCTTTATAAGTTAGCATTTATAAAACCAAAGTGTATGGTGCTATGCTGTTTCTTTTCTTTTTTATTCTATTTTCTTTTTTTTTATTGTCTGAAGTTTTACATGTCTCCTTTTTTCCTAACTGATACCCCCCCCCCCCCCCCCCCCCTCCCCCCCCCCACTTCCCTCCCCAGTGTCTGTGTCCATTGGTTATGCTAATATGCATGCATACAAGTCCTTTGGTTGCTCTCTAACCCCCCACTTGTCTCTGGATCTATTCTTGTTCTCTGTTTCTTTTTTAATTGATTCTAAACCCACAACCTCTCGGGGGAAGAATCTGGATTAATAATAGTAGTAGCAGCAGTAGTAGCTAACACTCTTAGGTGGTACTTCTCATGTACCATACACTATTTAAAGTACTTTATAACAAATAAACTCATATAGTATTTATAATGTCACGATAGGTCAGGGACACCACAGAGTCTGAGAATAATTCATTCTGGAGAGGTACAACATGGCAACTCTGAATTAAATACTTATTATCATAATTTCCATTTTAGAGAAGTCCAGCTCAAGTCCATTCATGCTGTTAACCACCGAGCTATACCTCTCAAAAAAATTAGTTTTTTTAAAAAAACACACATCCTATCTAATAATAGACAAACATGGTAATTGACCATACCTTTGCTACACCTCCCACTGGCTAATCAGCGAGATATGCAAATTAACCCAACCAAGATGGCGGCCAGCAGCCACGCAGCTGAAGCGAGCAGGAGGCTTGCCTGCTCCAGTGATGGAGGAAACCAAGGTTCCCCGCCTGCCGCAGTGGTTCTGAACTCCGAAAGCAACAAAGTTTCAATTATAGAAGCTAAACAAACCCCAGATACCTGCTTTCAGCCGGCGGTGGCCACGGAGCTGGAGCCGGCTCTCAGCTCGTGACAGCAACAAAGTTTCTATTATAGAAGGTAAATAAATGGCTGGTCACTATGACACACACTGACCACCAGGGGGCAGACGTTCAATGCAGGAGCTGCCCTCTGGTGGTCAGGACAGTTCCACATGGGGGAGCTCTGCTGAGCCACAGGCCAGGCTGATGGCTGCCACTACAGCGGTGGTGATGGGAGCCTCTCCTGCCTCCTCAGCAGCTCTAAGGATGTCTGACTGCAGCTTAGGTCTGCTCCCCGCTGGCAAGTGGCCATCCCCCGAGGGCTGCCGGGCTGCCAGAGGTATGTCTGATTGCCAGCTTAGGCCCAATCCCCCTGGGAAGCAGGCGTAAGCCAGCAGGTGGTCATCCCCCGAGGGGTCCCAGACTGCGAGAGGGCAAAGGCCAGGCTGAGGGATCCCCCCGCCCCCAGTGCACAAATTTTTGTGAACCAGGCCTCTAGTATATTAATAACAGGCATTAACCACAGTCCAAGTAAGTTAAATGTACTTGAAAGGCTGAAATCGAAAACCCAGATATTTTAATACCCATTCCATTACTTCTCCAATTAAGCTAACCTAACCTAATTCAGTCATTTAAGATTAAAAAAAAAAGCCTCCATGAAAAATTATCACCTAATTACACTGTGACTTCTAAAATGCCTCAAATAACAATTCCAATTTCTATATAAATTGTCTAATTTCATAAAACACTACTTAAACTTAAAACAAAGGATTTCAAAATAAGAAAATACATACTTTACCGTTTCTTCTTTACATGATTCTTCTGGCTGAGGCTGGTCAATGCTACAATGTTCTTCAGACAAAGCCTGGTCAGTGTTACATTGTTCTGTTGGCAAAGCCTCATTAGCTTGTTCTTCTGACTTGTTCTTAACTTTTCTAGTCTGCTTCCTGAGTCTTTCCTCTTCAGCTAAGTAAAGATGTTTCAGATGATCGGGATATCGATCTCTGAACTGGGATTCCTGTGAGGTTTGAGCTTTGTTTTTCCGCCATAGCAGTTTCTTGTAATTTTGCTGAATCTTCAATTTTCTTCGAAATGCAAAGCCTTGTCCTACATTGAAGAACATAAATCGTTAATTACTTTCTTAGAAAATAAGTGGCATGAAAAATGTAGCTGTGACATTCAGATGCTAGAATTACTTTGTTTTGCTTTGAAAGGTCATTTCAAGAAAACAAGTTTTAAACCAATGGCGTGAACAGTATGTTAATTCTTTGTAAAAGATCAGGCAAACTTAATCATGCAGACACTTCAAGTAATACTCTCAAATATGGTAAAATGGCTAGAGCGTTGCACGACTCCAGTTTATTGCGCTCAGAAATCAAAGCAAATTCCTTAATCCACCTAAAAGACTTCATCTCGGTCTTTAATAGATACTTAAAACATACAGCTCACAGCTATTATTTTACCTTAGAGAAACTGATGTACGACTTACTTTTTTTAAAAAAAATATTTTATTGATTTTTTTTACAGAGGGGAAGGGAGAGAGATAGAGAGTTAGAAACATCAATGAGAGAGAAACACCGATCAGCTGCCTCCTACACATCCCCCACTGAGGATGTGGCCACAACCAAAGTACATGCCCTTGACCGGAATCGAACCTGAGACCTTTCAATCCGCAGGCCGATGCTCTATCCACTGAGCCAAACCGGTTAGGGCTGTACGACTTACTTTTAAAAGTAACTCATCACAAGAGAGAGAAGATGGTGCATGACTTTCTGAACAGCTACCCAAACTTAAGATGTATGCATTCCAAACGAGATCTGCGGGAACTTACAGACAAGACACCATGACAAACACAAACCAAAGCAAAGCAAAGGAAAGGAAGATCAGTCAAAAACGACTGGAGGGCTCTGGGTTACTTGCAATCAGCAAGGGCGTGGGGCAGATTTCTGGCCCTATCCTGTCTGTCCTTCCCCGTAATACATGCACCAATGTGTACACATGATACACCCACAAGAGGAACCGTAGATGCTCTCTGCTTACGCTTTCGTGGGTAAATACAGAGGGAGAGTTCGGAACAAGAATGGAGACAAGTGGGGGAAGATGATTACGGACGGTCACCAACACCGCCCCGTCTTCCCACCGGGCGCTGAGACGCCCACGGCCTCGGCCGGCTCAGGAATGACTCCCTCCGCCCGGGGAGGGCCAGACCCAGCGCCTACACCCTGCTTCCCCGCATCGGCGGGTCGCGCACTCTAGGAGTTCAAAGGCCCGGGGACCAGGAAGGCTGCCTTCTTACCCTCGCGAACGCTCCCCACGAAGGCCTGCAGGTGGTTAGGTCGCCACGTCCTCTGTTTCACATTCTTATTCTTGAATCCGACCGGAGAAAACCCTTCGCCAGGCGCCCCAAAACCCCCCGTCCGCCGCCCGGGTGCCGGCCTCGAAGGCGCCATGGCATACCCAGCGCGTCGCCGGGAAACTCACAACGGACGCAGTCAAAGCACGTCACCAGGCGGAAGCAATCCATCGCCCACCTGCAGTGTCGATCGGAGCTCTACTGATCCGGCCTGGGCGGCTCTCCGCAGAGCCCCCGCCTCGCGACCTGGTTGGCGCCACCTACAGCCCGGGCGGGGGAGCGCCATGGCGGCTTCCAGCCCGCTCCCGGTGGCCCAGGACTTGCCCACGTTGCGTGCCAAGTTGCAGGGGCTGCTGCGGTTCCTGAGGCAAGCCCTGTCCATTGCCAACGCACACACAGTGGACTTCTACACGGAGTCCGTGTGGGCGCA